TCAACCAGGGCTTCTTTCTGCTCTCCCTCGCGAGCTGCTCGTTACCCTGAGCGGGCTGTGGCACGGTGCCGTTAATTACAAACCAAAGGGCAACGGGTTCTCTGCCAAGCCGGGGCCCTCTCCCCACCTCCCATCAGATTTTTCTGCAGCGAGGGGTCGGGAACATGCCGGCGCTGCCAGCGAGCATAGCTGAAATGCCACCAGGTTGCGGTGCCGGGGTGGCTGGTCGGAGGTGTGGTGGGTTTTGGGGTCCCTGGATGATGAGAAGCTGCGTTGGGGAGGATGCAGGGGGAGGAGAGATGGTTTGGGGGCAGATGGCAGCTTCCCTGAGCAGCATCACATCTCAGAGAGGGCAGAGGCACAGGTGCCTGGGCGGCCAGCCCCGCTCCGAGAGCCCCATGGCTTTAGAGGAAGCCTCATCTCACAGACACCGCAGCGACATTTTTCTTTGAAAGAAAAGAAAAAGCAGGGAGGTTGGCTAGCAGCAAGAATAGGTGCTTTAAAACCTGAAGGAAGCCCTCTGAAGCTGTTGCGGTGCTTGCAGGCAGAGTGGGGCTGGAGGATGCTGCCGGCACGGGGCATGCCGGAGCACAGGTCGAGCCGTAAAGCGTGTCCCCTCCAGCAAACAGCTGAGAGGGCCGGGGCTGCGCTGCCTGGCCGCCGAGCACCGGCTGCTTCTGCTTGTGGAGCAAACCCCGTTGTGGTGAGCGGGATGCCGTAGCAGCAGCAGAAGGCAGGGTTGGAGGTGGTGGTGACCAGGGAGGGTTGGTTTCTTCTTTCCCTCCTTCTTGCCTTTTAATCAGCCAAAGCTGCCAGACCTTGAGGTCTCGGCTCCGACAGCAGCTCCTGGCTCAGACCTGGGAGTGGGATGGGGAAGAACGGCGTCCTCCTGATGCTCATCCCAGCTTTGCTGTGTCCAGCAAAAAAAAAATAAAACCTTTCCTGGGTTTCCTTTCCCAGGTGCCACCTGCCTGTCCGGAGCTTCAGGAAGAGCTGGACACAGCAGGGACAGGGCGGGCGAGGGCTGTGCCGGCCGATTGCTGGGGGTAGCCGCCTTCGGGCGTTATCCCTCAGTACGTGTACCCTGGCACTCCGCATCCCCGCTGACCCCCTCCTCTGTGTTCCCTCCTCCTCGCTCGGTCTAGCACCAGCACTGTGAGCACCGCCAGTGTTTAGGAGTTTTCTTCTGGGTTTGCATATTAATGGTTTTGAATGGAAGATTTGAATTTTTGCGCTTTGTTCTGGCAGTGCGCGTGCTGTAGAGCCGAGGGGTGGGTTTGCCCAGGGCATGCCGGCCGGCACAGCAACAGGGCTGCAAGAGCGTGGCACTGCCTCCGGGCTCGTCGCCTGTCCCGGGAAGGGGCTGTCTCACCTCCACACGCTGGATTTCCTGATCTATCCCTAAATCTTTGAGTCCAACTTAAAAAAAAAAAAAAAAAAAAGTTAAACTTCAATGCTCCTCTCTAGGGAGGTGGAAGGAGATGTGCTGAGTTTGGCGCCTGTAACTGAAGGCATGAAAGGCCAGAAGAGCAATTGTCTTTTGTTTCTGGGTTTGGGGTTCTTTGTGCCAAGATCCGTGTATTTGCAGAACGTGGGGTAGTTTGTTCATGCGTGAAAAGATGCGGTGCAGCTTTGGTGATGCCTTCCCAGATACACGGGCAGAGTTGTGTGCCAGGATTGCTGGGACTCTGCCGGCCTCACTCCACATCTGTGTTTTCCACCTTTGT